CACACACTTACCCCTTTGCTGATGTAGCCCGATAGCAGGAGAGAGCCTATGATTATGAGAAAGGTGCCAATCAAAAACAGCACAGTGGCAAGTGCAATGGCCTTGTAAGGGATCTTAGGAGGGCTTTTCTTAAACTGGAGGAGAGAGACAAAAACAAAAAATGACAAAGAACATTATTAAAATACCAGTCTAATGTGCTTTAAAGCAGAGAGGCTAATTAAGAACCAAAGTGGATGCTTCAAGTAACTTTAAGTATGTCTAAGTCAGTGCAGCAAAGCAGGGCCTTGAGGAGGCGAAGCTCCTGATATTCCACAGATCCCTCATTACCACCAAGGAAAGCCCTTTAAAACTACTGTCACCTAGTTTGTGGACAAGCATTTACAACATGTGTGTGCACACAAGCTGGTACTGACCTGCAGGGATCTCGAAGTGAGCACCATGCTATCTACGCAGAAGTGAAAAGGTGACTTCTGGAATTGAAGGTAACTTAGCATGTAGTCAAAAGCTTAGAAATAGAATTTCAGCTTTTCTTTCTTCTTAAAGATTCATTTTGTTTTTAATTAGGTGTCTGTGTGTGGGTATGTACATGTGAGTGCAGGTGCCTGTGTAAACCAAAGGAATGTATCCTCCAAGAGCTGCAGTTACAGGTAGGTAAGTCACCAGACATGGCTGCTGGGAACCCAACTTGGGTTCTCTGCAAGAACAGTACTTTTAGGCTGGAGAGATGGCTCCAGGGTCGAAGCAATTGCCTTCCAGATGACCTGAGTTCAATTCCTGCACCCACAGGATGACTCAGTCTGTAACTCCAGTTCCAGAGGATCAGACACCCTCTTCTGGCCTCTTTGGATACTACATACTCATAGTAAACTGACCCAGGTTTGGTTCTGACAAGGTGGCTCATAATCATCTGTAATTCTAATTCTAGAAGATCCAATGCCTGCTTTTGACCATCTTTGGGCACCGGGCACATGCATAGTGTGTATGAAAGCAAAACACTCACACACATAAAACATGAATATAAAATATTAAAGACAAGAACATTATGTGCTTTTAAGTGCTGAGCCACCTCTCTGGCCCAATTTTCAGCTTTCTTAAAGCACTGCATTATGTGTAAATTCAGGTCAAGGTTAAGATTCAGGCTAAATACAGCATGAACACATAATGAAAATGTCACAGTGAAACCCATTAGTATGTACAAATAATATATGCTACTAAAAACATTTTAAAAAAAGGTTTAGAGGTAAACCTTCTAAGGTTTGGCTCATTACTGAATCTGATGTTGTTTGGAAGCACCCCAAAGCTATTCTTACCTCTTCTTCAAATAAGTCCAAAGAATAATTGATTTATTTACATTTAAAACAATGGATTCCTGCTTGCAATTTGACCCCTGCCTCAAGCTCCACCTAGAATACTCTGTCCTAAGGGAAAGGGGAAAAGGAGCTGCTACCTACTGAATAGGCAAAGGTCAGGCGAGAACACAAATTTGTTTACTTTATGTTTGCCATAAAGAGCATCTGTAACTAACTGTATCACATGACATCAGGAAAGAAGATGTTTTTGGATAGGTTAAATAAAATCTGTAGCTACATGGCTTTAGTACTTCAACTGAAACTAGAAGTGAATAACCGCAGAACCGTTTAAAACCACCCTGTCAAGATCCCTTCTCCAAGCTGGGGCTGAAAGGGTCTTAGAAATAAGCTTGCTTTTTGCTGGTCCCAATTAACATACACAGCTAAATGGTTTTCTATTTTTTTTCCCCAATTATGTTACCTGAAGGTCAATGTAGCCATCGTCTGTGCTAGAAAGCCTTGAATATTTTACTTTGCTACTGGGGATCCCAGTCGTCAGGCTGGTACGAGATGGCATCATAACACGGTGACACAGCTAGTCTGAAAGGGAAAGACTGTTACTGTCCACAGGAATAATAATAATAATACATCACAGGCAAGGACATCAGACACTGTGCACTAGTGTTCTGGCCTGCCACATTATATATAGCACATACATGGCAACTTCAGCTTTGCTGCTCTTACAATGGCCTGATACTTCTTGGACACACTAAACACCCTTCCTCTATGCATCTGGCTTGTCTTCACAGAATGACATCAGAGGAATTTCACAAAGAATCAGACCCAGTTTACTTTGCCACCAAATGTTTCCTGCCTAATTTTTCCAAAGTCACATGGAGGTGAGTGAAGACTTGAACCCAATGTTCACATTTTCAACCCTTCCCTGCAGTACTGTCTGCCCCTTAACTTTCCTCAGGCGCTTATCTCTGAAAGGGAGGATAAGGAATGGAGTACACTCATCAGTATTTTGTCTATTCTAAATATGCTATCATCCTAAGTGCAGGTGATCTGAAAAATCTTATCAATGTGGGTAACTTACTGGCTATCAATACCACACCAGAAACTTCAGAGCCACCTGCCTCTCTGCTCCCATCCCAAGCATGAAACAAGTGATTTTACTTTCCACATCATGTAGCTCCTGAAAAAATGGATTTAAAAGTCTGCTTTACTCAAACTATTCAAACCAGACAGTAGTAATAAAATCGTAACTAATGTATTTATCAAGATATTTAAAAATGACGTTTAATTAAAAAAAAATGAAATTTGAGCTCAGTATTGTAGTAGGTAACTGTAATATTAGCTAGTTGGGAGGACAGGTATGAATGAATATACAGAGCTGGGAGCCAGTGTGGGCTGTATTGTGAGACCAGATGTTCTCCCCTACCACAACTGAATTTGCTAATTTTTTAAAGTCATAAAATTATGTGAACAGATTTCTGTTTCTTTGTGAGACAGGGTTTCTCTGTGCAACAGCCCTAGCTGTCCTGGAACTAGCTCTGTAAACCAGGCTGGCCTCAAACTCAAGAGATCCATCTGCCTCAGCCTCTGCCTCATGAGTGCTGGGACTAAAGAAGTGCACGACCAACGACGGCTGTAAACAGATTATTTTCATTGCAAAGTATCTGAATTGTAAATGTAAAAGCCTATTTTTAAGGAGATAACTAAGTATTCAATAGCCAGGCCTTCACTGGTGTGGTATTTTGCACATCTCCATAACGGCATGTGGTATTTATTCGATCTTGGTGATGTGAAAGACACTGCTATTAAAGTAACCAGCATGCAAAAAGCTGGTGCCAAATGCATCATTACATTCGAGTTCAGAAGCTGAGTATTAAAAAGGAACAACGCGTTCCTAAAAATGTTAAAGTTGCGTTAAGTACCAGGTTTTTTGGTGTTGCCATCCCATTACATGCCTAATACTTCAAACCTGAAAAACAGGAGTTTTTTGAAGCAATAAACCAGGCCTGATTTGTGTTACATGCTACAAAGTGTTCGAATCACAACAAAAATGTTGCGGAGTCTGAGCGAAAAGGGAAAACTTATGTTTTTCTTAGTAAAGGATTCTGGAAGGAAGTTACCACATCCTAAATGACCATTCTAAAAAATAACAGCCCAAGTTTCTACTATGCTTTGTACCGGTCCCACCGCCACCTTGGCCACCGCCCCCCTAGTCCCCAAGCACCTGCGCGTGGCGCTGTGGACAGCCTCCGGCCGGCCTCCGCCGTCGCCACCCACGGTCAGGACCCACGAGAACTTAGCACTAACACAACTGGCTCCGGGAAGCAGCCTCGGTGGCGGGCGAGGCCTCGCGGCTGGCTTCCGGGAGCGCGCCCCCTCCCCCGACCCGCGGAGCGTGTCCCGCTCTCCGTTAGGCGCGCTAGCACCGCTCGCCCAACAGCCAACGGCGGTCAGAGCGCCGGCCCACCGGAAGCGGTATGCAGAGGCGCACCGGAAATGGCGCCACCAGGAAGCCACGTCATTGCACCCAGCGGCGCGAGGTTGAACAGTTTTTATAGTTTCCCTATGTATCGCTGGCTCTCCTGGACTCAGTTATGCTGGCCAGGATGGCCTCAATGTTTCTCCTGCTTCTGCCTGCCGAGTCTGGGAATACCCAGTGGGCCAGCAGTTTGGTCTTGTGCTGGTGACCTGGGCTTGTCACCTCCATATGGTGGGTAGAAACTTCAAGGTCCTTCCATCCGGACCTAATCCAAGGCAAGCCTGCTAAATGGCTCCAGCCCAGACCCATTATGGCCAAGTCTGTGCAGAGCAGGGTCCCCCTAACCCGGAGTGGTGGGCAAGGGAAGCTTCGCCTGCCCTATCCAGCACTATGCTGACATTGGTCTGTAACCACTAGAGTTCCCATAGCCCCAAATTCTTGTCCTTGTTTTCCTGTCTGGTTATCAGACCTCACCCAGGTTATAGTTCTACTGACCAGACGTAATTAAGAGTTCTAACATATCCCCAATAGAAGTATCAAAAAAGCATGCCCATTACCCCAGGTCTGTAAGGGAGGTGTATTTCCTTCTCTATGTGTTGACACAAAGCTTTCAACAGTAAAAGTTACTGGGTATGAGCTCTAACCAACAACCCCCTAGAATTAGCGAAGCTGTACCCTTTACAAACTGCCAAACACAAAATTCGATGGGAAAACTTGGGGAACTGTGGAGATAGCATAGTATATAAAAACCCTCAAAAGTGTGGCCCACCCATAAATTCAGCCTTGAAGCAAACAAGACTTGCTCTACTAGCTCTGGGTTTGGGCCTCAATAAGGCAGAAACACAAAATGCCCACACACCTGCAAAATACATGCACACATAAAAACTGAAAAGGTGAAGGGTAGTGGTGATGCCTGCCTTTAACACTAGCACGTGTGAGGCAGAGGCAGGTGGATCTCTGTGAGAAGTTTGAGGCCACCCTTATCTACAAAAAGATCCACTAAAGTATTTTAAAAGCTACACCCCAAACAAGACTACTCGTATTAGAAGTTTTTTTTTTCTATAACCTAATCACACAGACTAAAGGGAAACATTTTTTTATCTTCATGATGTAGTAACTCCAGGCTGCTTTAATGAAAGAAAACAAAACCCCATTTATATAACAGGATAACTTTCATTGACAACTCAGTAGTTGTGGTTTCACAGATGCTGTCCTTTGACTTTTGAAATTCAGTTAACTTTATTTAAATTGAATAACATTTCTTGATACTGCATTCAGCATCAACATCCTTTATAAAAACCACCAGTTATTTCTAAGGCAGAAATATTTATGTTAAAAGAACCAGTTCTTACTTTGAGTTTATTCTTTAAACAAATGGTGGAGAATAGAGAAAAAAAGCAGGTTATTTACAGAAGATATCTACATATGTACTCAGGTACAAACTCAGTGACAGAAAAGACTTCAAAACATGCTGGCATCTCAGAAGTAGTTCTCAAAGGCTTGGTTTTCTCAGATTCTAGCAATGCCTAAGATCCTTCTTCATCTTCAATCTTGGGAGCCAAATAATACTTTAAGTGTCCCATGTCAGAAATTTTATATTCTACAACTGAAAGACAGGAAAAGTTAATGGAAAAGTTAGTTACTTAGGAGTAATTACTACACTACAAAACACAATGTTCAAACTCAGTAACTTACCAAGGGGTACATCTGCAGACATACTGAGTGTTACTGTAGGAGACAGTGGAGTGGCTTTTGTGAAAAAGTTCAGGTACCTCAGTGCAAAAGTTAGCTGAACTGGCTCATTCATCTCTATGGCTACCTAGAGGAGAAAACAGGTTCACTATAGACAACATCAAGAAACTCATACTACATTAGTTCATAATATACAGCACAAAACAAAACCCTTTAGTTATTACTTTGGAGGGTTTTTATGAAAGGTCTGAAGACTACATAAAAGAAAAATATTTAACCCATCTCTTTTATAGAGCCATCCCCCAAGCACCAACATAAAGAAAGCAGCTGTTCTTATCTAGATTGCAAACACTAATCTCTTTCAAAGAATCTATATAGAGAGGGAAAAGAAGTAGAATGACAGCTAACCAGTAAAGCACTTGATTATTTGAGTAAAGTCTTGGGTCCAATGTACAACACTCAACTGCCACCCACAAAAGTAACCAGGGCTAGAGAGCTGGCTCAGCAGTTAATACTCCATGTTCTTCCAGAAAACCCAAGTTTGATTCCCAGCACTCACATCCAGTAACTTATAAACAATTCCAGTAACAAGAACCAACAAGTTGAATGCAAGGGACATGTCCACCAATTTTCATTTTATCAGCATCAAGTTTTTTCAGGTCCCAATTCAAATTAATGAAATAAGGAACATGTGAATACTGAAAAATTCTTAATTTCCATGGTTGTGGTAATGCTTATAAACAAAATAATTATGAATTTAAATGTCTTGAGATATGAGGATAACAGGGAAGTAGAAATAATTCATCAGACAGCTTAAGGCCAAGAACTAGCCCTATGGGAGATATATCTGTTCTAATTCTTAGTTATACATTTATTTTAAATTCATGCAGCAGACAAGAAAATAACATTAATTAATTAATTCTTGTGTTAAGCACTCCAAATTTCACATTTAGTTCTAAAAATCATATTTAGTTCAGACTAAATCATATTTAGTTTAGTTAGTAATCTGTCTGCAACTTTGAGTATGATGCCCAGGTTAGCTGGGAAAACTTAGTGTATTTATTAAAATCTACCTGATTCCAACAGACTCACATCCCCAACCATTTTCCTCTGTTCACTTGTTAATCCTCACTTATATCTTAGTCATTTCTAGGAAGCAAAACATTGGAGACCTCGATTTCCAATGCCACCCGTGAAAGCATATGCATAGAGTGTGGAACATCTGAGTTCAAAGACAGTCTGAGTAGACTCCACCTCAAAAAAGCTAGGGCTGGAGAGCCAGCCCAACAGTTAAGCTTACATTCACTCCCCTTTCAGACATTAGCTGGAAGACAACTATACTACTTACAGCTTCCTCCTCTTTATCAACATTACTTGTCTGTGACAACTTAATGTTTCCATTTCCAAGCTCGCCACTTGCAGAAAACTTCACCCCATCCTTTGCACAGGATATTACAACAGCATCTCCAATATGGCTAAGATCTCGGCATATGCGTGCAAATTCACCAGAAGGCATCTTTACTACACAGCTGTACTCCTGTTCCTGTAAAAAGTTAAAGGTCAGTAGAAGTGTGAGGACTGCTTCACTACTTTCTCTTGAGCATCTTAACCAGAACTAAGTGCAAGACATGTACCAGCTGGCATCACAGCTTGGTAAAATTCACCATCAAAAACAAGATATTCTCCCAGCACTAGGGAGGCAGCAGCAGGCAGATCTCTGCAGAGTTTGAGGCCAAGCTGGTCTACAGATTGAGTTCCAGGACCTCCAGGGCTACACAGTGAGACCAAACAAGATACTCACAGGGATTCCAAGTTGCTCAACATCCAAGTCCATTAACTTCATTTCATAGTCTGAAACTTTCTCTTGATCTAACAAAAGGAAGCAAATGTTACTGAAGCACATGTTCACATCTAGGGTGTAAAATTTTACAACCACAATTCTGTTAATATTCTTAGTTCTGGGAACAGAACATCATGCTTTGCTTTCTGTAGCAACTGAGTTTTAGACGTGTAACTTACTTGGTGCTTCAAATACGAGCGCTAAGGTATCAGCATTATCTTCGGCCCTTAGTGTAATGATGTCTTCATTACCAGCACATTTCAGTATTTTAGACATGCTAGAAAACAAGACACAAGGCTTATCAACACCATGTATTCAACAGCTACATTTTAAAGGCATTTACAAGATGTTACCCTTTCACACCCACACCCGATGGGGAAACTCTTAAATAGGATAAGGGTTCCCCAAATCTCCTCAGGGGGTGAAGTAAACTATCGGGAATGTGATCTTTAAAAACCACCTAAAAGGCAATATGCGAGGAAACATTTTTGGGCAGAATGTCCTTGGTTTCTAGTGTACCTGAGTGTGCCCTATCACGTCTGGCCTTTTTTCTAAATCTTTAAAAAAACGTATACGGGTGGAAAATTCATGTATATGTAACAAAGTTAAAGGCCAAGACTGGTAAATTTTCCCTCCAATGTACGCAGTGAGATTCTAGAACCCAAGGCTTTTTAGAAAAGGCCTAATGTCCCTCTAAGTGGACAGTACCACATTTCCACTAGAACACGTTTGATAGGCAGCCAAAACTATCCAGGACCAGGTTGTGCTACTAAAAAAAGGCTGCTGGCATTTAATGAGCTGATCTCCGCAGCACGCATTTTCCCGCCGGCACCGGTTTTGTGGCTTTGGCGCGGAAACAGCCGGTTCGCGCGGCCGCCAGCGCGGGCTTTTCAGAACCGCGCGCTCCCCTGGGCTCCACCTCCGGCTTCACAGACCAATCAAAAGGCGCGGATGACCACGCCAGCCAATAAGAGCGCGGACCCGGAGCCCCGCCAAGACCCGAGGCGGGAGGGCTAGGGCCCAGCTCCCGCCACCCGCTCACCTGGTGAGGTTCACGCCCATGGCTAGGTTGCGGTCGCAGCGGTATGTGTCGAAGCCTTCGGAGCGCAGAGTGAGCTGCACCAAGGAGACGTGCGAAGAGTCCATGCTCTGTAGGTTCACGCCGCCCGAGCTGATGTCCCAGCAGGCCTCGTTGATGAGGTCTTTGAGAGCCTCCAACACCTTCTTCAGGATGGAGCCCTGGACCAGGCGAGCCTCGAACATCGTGGCGGAGACTGGATGCTAGAGACAGTGACAGGCGCGAGGTCTGACCGCTAAGGTATCCCGGTCCGCGATGCAGAAGTGGCAGCGAGGACCCACAGGGAAGCGACTACCAACTTGCTGCGCCTGCAACCGTTTAATGCTGCCGCTTCCTAGGCGCGCGCGCTTCCCGTGCGCGAGACTTGCTACGTCACCGCGCTGCCCCACCCACCTTCCCTTAAGGACCAATTGTATCCCTGTCCCGCGCAAGGCCCGCCCCGCCGCGTACACAGAGGCGGGGCCGAGGCGATGGAGCGTGGGAGGCGTGGGGCATCATGGGACCTGCGTAGGCCCACCTTTGTGGCCGAGGCTTGGCTGCTGTTTCTTTCGGCCCTGGGACGTTTCCGCGCCACGGAAATGAAAGTCACGTGCAAACTGAGCTGTGCGGGTTTTTAAACACTGCAGAGCGCTTTCCTTTTTCTACTGCGTAAGCGAAAAGACCACCGCGTATTAACCCCAATTTTCTATAACTTCACTGTGTTCGGCGCTCTGAACTTTTCCTCCCTAAAGATTAAAGGATACCTTCTTACCGCGAACACTTTTGCAAAGAACCCCAAAGTACTACTATTTCTTAAGATACACAATCCATAGGTGCCACCTGATTTATTAGTTTCCTGTTAGGCCTGTTTCCCTTATTTTCCTAACTGCTACTAGTGTTTTCATCCTAATTTTAGGCTAGAAATGAACTCAGCCTGAAACCAACCCATCTAGGCTGGAGATGAACCCAGGGCCTAGACTCTAAGTACCCATTCGCGAAAATGTTCGTGGGCTGCTGCATTTTGTTCTGAAATTCCTTTTTCCTATTGATTATAAGGGCTGGGGAAACTGAATGCAGGTAATGGACTCCAGATACAAACGGACGTAAAGCTCATTTTTTTTTCTATTTCTAATGTTTTTTTTCTGTTTTTGGTGATGGATATTTGATGCTGAAAGTGTAAAATGTTAGTTAATGTGAAATTTCACATCTATTTCAAATGCCTCAACGATTTAGAAACTTATTGAGTTGTATAGACTTTTGGTGTGTTTTTTATTTGTGAGTTTTTAAAATAAGTTTTATAAAATTTCAAAAGCTTAAAAGGAGTGTTTTAGCTGGTCAGAGTGCTTTACAACTATATTTCCAGTACATGGGGAGGCTGAGGTGGGCCTGGAATTTAAAGACGGCCTGAACTGGCTAGCAAGACTGACACAAAGAGGAAAAAAGGAATATTTTACAGATGATAATAGTAATCACATATCGTGTATATTTGCCCTTTCCTTGTTTACAGCAATTTCTCTTTACGTCATCTTGTTTGTTTTTGCTTTTCCTGCCTTGATCTAGTCAGAAAATTGCATAAGAATTCTTATCATTGAGCTCCAACCCCAGTCTGTTAAGTCTCCTAACTACCTCAAACTCACTCTGTTGTCCAGTGTGGCCTTGAACTCACAATCCAATGCCACAGCCTCCGGAGTAGCTGGGATTACAAGGCTGTACCATCAAGCCTAACTAGTTACTTATAATATCTTATCTTGGTTTGTAGAATTCCTGGTCTTAAAAAAAAAAAAAAAAAAAATGTCTAGGTATGATGAGATGTGGACTTATTTATCCAGTCTAGAATACTCTGGACCATTTTGACTACAAATGCCAGTTTCCCTACTCTATTTATTCCTTTTGGCCAAGCTATTACAAATATCTGTTTTATTGGATTTAAGATATGTTCAATTAGATTTTTTTTTTTTTTTTTTTTTTTTTTTTTGAGATAGAGTCTATGTTCCCTGGCTGTATTGGAGCTTGCTAGGTAGTCCATGGTGAAAATTTGATGTTTTTTTTTTTTTTTTTTTTTTTGTTTTGGGTTTTAGTTTTTTTAAGACAGAGTTTGTCTGTGTAGCTTTGTAGACCAGGCTGACCTCAAACTCAAGAGAGATCTGCTTGCCTCTGCCTCCTGATTACTGGGATTAAAGGCATGCACCATCACTGCCCACCTGACAATTTGATTTTTTTAAAAATATATTTTATGTATACGGATGTTTGCTTGCATGCATGTTTGTGCACTATGTACTTGCCTGGTGTCCTAGGAGGTCAGGAGTTACAGATGGTTGTAAATTGCCTTGTGCTAGGAGTTAAACCTGGGTTCTATGGAAGAGCAGACAATACTCCTAACCACTGAGCCATCTCTCTGGCCCAAGGTTTGTCAATTTATATGATGTGCCATCATTTTATTCAGACAAAAGAGGAAAACTACCATACAGTGATCTATCATATAAAATTTCAGTTTTTTAATGAATAAAAAGCACTATTATATTTTCAGCTCCCCTTTTAAATCACATAATACTCTTTTGGGAACAGTTAAAGAAAAACATGGGAGCTAGGGTATATAGTGGGAGAATGCTGATCTGACCTGACCTGTGCAGGCCCTAGCATGATCCACAATGTCAGAAGAGACAGTGTTTGCACTATTTGTTTACATTCTTACATCCAGAGGTTCTCACTCAGTTGCTGCTACTCTCTTTTTAATGTATTACACTGTGCTTTGTTAAAGGGCATCGATGAAGCAACTCAGGTACTAGTCTAAGGCTGAAGGGATGACACAGTGATTAAGAGCACTGGCTGCTCTAACAAAGAATTTGAGTTCAGTTCCCAGCACCCACATGGCAGTTTATAAACCTCTGTAACTACACTTCTAGGGAATCTCACACCCTCTCCTAGGTCCAAAAACACCCGGCATGCATGTGATATATATACATACTTGCAGGCAAATACATACAATAAAAATAATTTTAAAAGAGAATGCTACTCTGTTGTCTCTGGACTTCCTTTCAAGTCCCTGTCATTCATTTGTAAGTTTTGTTTTGTTTCATCGAGACAGGGTTTCTCTGTGTAACAGCCCTGGCTGTCTTGGAACTGGCTTTGTAGACCAGTCTAGCCTTGAACTCACTGAGATCTGCCTGCCTCTGCCTGGCTCATTTGTAAGTTTTGATGCTGACACTTTCTTGCTTTATGTATAATTAATTGTTTTACTAATATTTATTTATATGTGGTGCATGTATGTTATAGCTCGTGTATGGAAGTCAGAGGAAAACTTGCAAGAGGCAGCTCTGTTCCTCCACCATGTGGATCACAGAATAGAACTCAGGTTGCCAGGTGTTGGGAGCAGTCTTTGTGGAACTGCAATCGGAGCCAGCCGAGCGGCCCCAAGTCCGTACCTAAGTGAGGGAGTGTAGATGAGAGACAGAATAAAGGTCAGGAGGGCAGATCAGTCAGATAGTCTTCAAACTTCCAGCCTTACTCGTCATGTGTATCCTGTCTTAAGTAGCTTGTAGGTAGGTAAAAAGACTTTACCCATCTCTGACTACCAGCCTCTGTAATAAAGAACATTAGGGAATAGTGCATAGCTCAATGCCAACACACCTGAGCTAACTTTTCATCAAGAGTTCACAAGCAAGCTCGATAATGCATATGCTTTTGTGGCTACAGCCTTTCCTGCAAAAGGACAAGATAAATCAAAATAAAATGGCCTTTTTGGTCTGAGATCTCGTGAGTGGTTTTTGTTATATCAAAATCTAAATCTGCCTATTCAATTGCATTGTATCTAATGATTCATAATCATGTCTAAATCTTAACAGAATGAGCTGACTTTTTCATTCATAACATATCTAGTATAGCAAGGTTGTAAACATTAATGATTCCAGTATGCTTATTAACAATTGACACATAATTGACTAAATTACAATTCTCATAACTTCAATTCAATCAAAGGACAATAAAAATTTCTTATGGTGAATGAAGTATGAATAACTCCACAATTCTAAACCCATTCTTTTTCCTTATCTAAAGCCCAATGCAGTGTTGCTTATAATTTCCAAAGATAAGTTTTGAGATACCACAGTCCTTGAGTACTAAAGTATTAACTACAAAACTTTTGTTCATTGTCCGCTCAAATACTGAAGATGAAATTTTGCCCCATACCATGTCCATAATAGCTATCTATTGTCCCAAGATGTGGTGTAGTTAACGGATCAATGCATCAGGTTTGTTGGGAAACTGGAAATCTTGAACCAAACGCAAAATCTCTAATCTCCTTCTGAAAATCTCGAACCAATTGTTCTTTCTTTCTTAGATTGTAGAGTCAGGAACATAGGTTCAGCAAGTCTCACTCATACTGTCTTGGACAGGTTCCAGAGGTGGTCTCAGGTCTGGTTTTTCTCTGTTCCAAGAATCTCACCAAACAGTCTGGCAGCCACCCGGCTTCATTTTCTTCCTTTGAGAAAACACAAACATGCCCTCGACCCCATATTAGGATAAGATCAGGCCCTTTCAATACTCTAGTGCATGGATCTTTCTATTTGACTTGAGCAAAAGTCGCTCAAGTTCCATCATGCCAGAATCTGCTCGACACAGATTGCTCAAGGGCATCCACATTTAAGAAATTTAAAATGAAGAGTGCATGATTTAATGAATCAGGTGGAGACTGGGGGCACAACTCCCCTCTCCTTAATTTTAGAAGTTGTTTTCAAGGAGCTATGAGCACACTTCACAATTCCTTGCCCTGTTTTGTGTTCAATTTTCCATTGAGCACACAATTCCTGAAATGCTTTATTGGTATATGCAGATCCATTGTCTGTCTTTATAATTTTTGGAACTCCCATGTTAGCAAAACATTTTAAACAGTGACTTATCACATGCTTAGTGGCTTCTCCAGTTTGTGTGGTAGCTATTAAGAAGCCTGGATATGTATCGACTGCCATGTGCACATAATTTTAATCTGCCAAATTCTGCAATATGAGTAACATCCATATGCCATAAATGATTAGGAAGCAGGCCTCAAGGATTTACTCCTACAATAGTTACAGGTAAATATTGTGGGCACACATCACATTGTTTGACAATTTGCTGAGCAGTCTCTCTAGTTAAACCAAACTGTTTTCTTAGACTATTACTATTTTGATGATGAAAGTTGTGTGACTGCTGAGCTAATTCTACCTGAGATAAAGTGACCATTTTTGTCAGTCTATCAGCTGACTCGTTATCTTCAGCTAGTGGGCCAGGAAGGTTTGAATGAGCTCTTCTATGACCCACAAAGCACGGTGCCTTTCTTTGATGAATGACACTCTGAATTTTCTCAAACTGTATTTTAAGCTGATTTTTACTAGTTCCAATGTAC